GTAGAAACTACTCATATTATCGTCGAATCAGGAAGGAAGAAGTGGTTGTAGCTTTGAAGAAGATGAAGCATAGAAAAACAGTGGGCCCAGACGATATACCGATCGAAGTGTGGAAAGTCTTGGGAGAGACAGGTATAGCATGGCTCACTGACATTTTCAATAGGATTTTGAAAACGAAGAAGATGCCAAATGAGTGGCGAAATAGCACTTTGGTGCCTATCTACAAGAATAAGGGCGACGTACAAAATTGCATGAACTAATGAGTCATACAATGAAGCTTTGGGAGAGAGTCATTGAGCATAGATTGAGGCAAGAGACACGGGTTTCGGACAACCAATTCGGGTTCATGCCAGGGCGCTCAACCATGGAGGCAATCTATCTCTTACGAAGATTGATGGAAAGATATAGAGATGGGAAAAAGGATTTACACATGGTCTTTATAGATTTGGAAAAAGCGTATGATAGGGTCCCAAGAGACATTCTTTGGAGGATTTTAGAGAAGAAAAGAGTACGAGTAGCATATATCCAAGCTATAAAGGATATGTATGAAGGAGCAAAGACTGCCGTAAGAACTCCTGAAGGACAAACCGAAAGCTTCCCCATAACTGTAGGATTACATCAAGGCTCATCCTTAAGTCCTTACCTTTTTGCGTTGGTAATGGATGACAGGACATATTCAAGATGATATTCCTTGGTGTATGCTTTTCGCAGACGATATAGTGTTGATAGATGAAACTCAGGAAGGGGTAAATGCGAAGCTTAACTTTTGGAGAGTTGGAATCTAAAGGTCTTCGCCTAAGCCGATCAAAGACAGAATATATGGAGTGCAAGTTCAGTGTAAATGGAGGCCAAAATGAGTTAGGGGTGAGGATCGGAGATCAGAAAATACCAAAGAGCGACCGTTTTCGCTACCTAGGATCTATCTTGCAAAAGAACGGAGAATTAGATGGAGATCTCAACCATAGAATACAAGCTGGATGGATGAAGTGGAAGAGTGCATCCGGCGTGTTATGTGACCGCCGTATGCCACTGAAGCTCAAGGGAAAATTTTATAGGACGACAATAAGGCCGGCGATGCTGTATGGCACAGAATGTTGGGCGGTGAAGCATCAACACGTACACAAAATGGGTGTAGCGGAGATGAGGATGCTTCATTGGATGTGTGGGCACACGAGAAAGGATAAGATTAGGAATGAGGATATCCGAGGTAAAGTAGGAGTAGCCGAAATTGTAGGAAAACTGAGAGAAAATCGGTTACGGTGGTTTGGACATGTGCAAAGAAGGCCTACTGACGCTCCGGTTAGAAGATGCAACTACGGGACAGAGGTTCAGGGCCGAAGGGGTAGAGGAAGACCTAGGAAAACTTTGGATGAGACTCTAAGAAAAGACTTAGAGTACTTGGATCTAACGGAGGACATGACACAGGACCGAGCACAATGGCGTTCTAAGATTCATATAGCCGACCCCACTCAGTGACTTGGATTTTTCAAGTCTCCAACCGAGAAGTTTTCCTCACTCGGAAAATTAAAGGAACACTACCTCAACCTACATGCTCCACTCACAAAGCTTCAACATACAAGCTTCAATAAAAGAAAAATTCAAAGACTTAGTGAAGAAGGCTTTGGTGTATTTAACACAATACGTTGAAATGAAGCAAAGCTTATTTATTGATATCTCTGATAAGTTACAAATATGTACATATACATGAGTCAAAATAAACAAACAAGATGGAGCCTTCATAAAGGTTGCTTAGGAGAAGTCTCAGCAGTCGGTTGAGCCCTAGAAAGAGAAGGCACCGGAGGGGGATCATTTGTTTATATATGCTTCGAGATCACATACGCCAAAAATCGCAAAAAACAAACATTTAGAGATCAAGTAACGGGACAAAACTTTTTGACGGTTATAAACGAAAAATCACGATTTAACGGTGATTTTAACTCCGATTTTGATGATTTTTTACAGCTACACTCCTTGACCCTATATGAATACAATGAATGAGATCGATCTTCAATTTAAAATATTTACACTAGTGGATACCACAAATTCTTATGTTATACTTAATGAAAGTAAATAAACTTAAGTGTTAATGAATCTATCATTTTGATGGGATACGCATTCTACGAAACTAATTTCAACGATCCAACCGTCAAACTTGTTTATATATGCTTCGAGATCGCATACGCCAAAAATTGCAAAAAATAAACATTCAGAGATCAAGTAAGGAGACAAAACTTTTTGACGGTTATAAACGAAAAATCACGATTAAACGGTTATTTTAACTCTGATTTTGGTGATTTTTTACAGCTACACTCCTTGATCCTATATGAATACAATGAACTAATTTGATCGTCAATTTAAAATATTTACAGAAGTGGATACCACAAAATCTTATGTCATGATGATCGATGAAAATTGAGGATTTTGTAAAAGGAATAACATGCAAGCTTTGAGTTCCATTGGCAAAGTTTAAACTTATGTCATGATGATCGACATAGACAGTTTATGACGCTTACAAGCGACAGTAAATCAGACGTCAAGTTCAGTAGGTATCGCAAATGTCTTATCCGCCACTATATTATATTAAAGCGACATCACCCAGTGACACAATAAGTCCATTTTGTAGTACGAAACCTGGATTGTTGAAGAGAGCATACCACAATTTAGAGACACATTTGAATCGCATCAGAGTTTTGAGATCCAGAGTTAGTAGGATTTTCACCAACATATCTTGTCCCAGTTTCATTTTGATGCTGCACCACTACTCGTGCTCCCCCTCTAACGATAAACAACAAATTATGATAACTTTTTAATTAAGATTTATAAGAAGAAAAAAAATCGTATACATGAAACTGACTGAGATTTTAGACCAAAACTTTGATTAATTTTCGAAAGTAAGGTTCAATTATATAAGTGTTGATGTTACATGCATCTTCTCACAACCTCAAATTTGGGTTGACTTAATTTTATATAAAATGATAGACGACAAAGTGTGAGAGTTGCATTGTTCGAACCCACAACCTCAAATTTGGGTCGACTCAATATCATTCATTATTTGTTTGCGGGCCTCGTATGTTATATGCATCTTCTTTGTCAGCCCCGCTTTCCATTAAGAATTTAAGATTGTCTTATTACACGATTACACCTACCCTATACCATTAATATCAAGGAAATTATTTAAAGTATATACTATCATAAATTAGCCTAGGCCCTAGGATTTAAATCACATGTGTTGTTTCCCCTCAATAGAAAGTTGGATAAAAGGCCCAAAACGATTTACTAGCATTTGCTTGTTCACGTGTGTCGCTTCCCCTCAATAGATAGTTAGATAAAAGACCCAAAACCATAAGCATAAAAGGCTTCAATTCAAAACGATCTACACAATACACATGCATGCAGTTTCTTTTGCCTATAAATTGAAAACTTGACAGTGATATGTAACGAGTTATATTCTGAATGGACAAGGATTGTCTGCCCTCCTATTTTCCATGCCGTTCCATGCCCTCCTGTTTTGTGTGGTTACGGTTAAACCACGTTAACATTTTATATTATTTTTTTTTATAAAAATAATAAGACAAAAATGAATAGTAATATAAAATGTTGACGTTGCTTAACCGTGACCACACAAACAGGAGGGCATGGAAGGGCATGGAAAAAGGGAGTGCAGAGAATCCTTGTCCATTCTGAATTGCAGACTTGTATTGATTTTCATTTGTAGTGGGAGTAGGAATGTTAATTAAGTTTTTCCCAATTTCGCATCTGTTTTGATCGTTTCATTTTAGAGAGTTTTAACGAAATGCCTACGGTACTGTTCACTTTAACGAAAAACCACATTTTTACATTAAAAAGTCAAACCTGGTACTATTCACTTTACCCTTTATTTTGTCCTTATCATTAAAACTCAAAATTTTCAAACTTTTTTCATTAGTTTTCCTTTCATTATTTTAACCCCTCCACCTCAACCTCCACCCCATTATCTATTCTAGCTACAGTCAAACTTTTGCCCTTTGATTTTGCTTTATTTATGCCACTGCCATCATATCTGTGGCTGAGTTGGAGGGTAATTATATAAAATTAGGAGTGTAATATTGTCTCTGAACAGATTTCAAGATATTTACAGTTTTGCCAGTTTTGTTGTGAGATGGGCCCTTGATTTTGCATTATTTACATATCTGCCATTTTCGAATGGCATGGGCTTCAGAGACGGAGAGGGAGATAGGCGTGGGATGGCAGGGAGGGAAAGGGACAGGGAGGAGTGAGGCTGCCAAAAAAGGGGGTTAGGGTTGATTTTTTCTCCTCAAATCAAGGTTTGGTGTCGGTGATTGAGAGATTGAGAGGGATGGGAGAGAGACAGAAACACACCCATTTGGCCTTCATTTCCCTTTCTCAAACCCTAGCAGCAACAACACCAACTCTAGCCGATCTCTGCAATAGCGTCGGCTCCTGCTTTTGAAAACCAAAACCCCACAAACCTGGCCTCCATTTCTGTAACTCGGAGCTTCGTCTCTCTGAGTCTAACTCCGAATATCAACAAGGTGTCTCTCTCGCGTATAATTTTGAATTTTTGGAATTTTTCTTGGAATTTTGTCTTTGATTCTCCTTTCTGTTTGTGCTTTTACATTTTTGCAAGTCGGCGAGAAGCCGAGCATAGCTCTTTCTATAGCCTCCGTTCTCTCCCATGGTCAGGTATGCCCTCTCTCTCTCTCTCTCATGCACTCACAAGCTCACGTTTTGAAATCCTAGCCAAAGCTCTAAAGCTCCAAGTTAAGGACTTTTTGAAGGCTAATAAAATATAGGAGGCAACAAAGAAGCTGGAATTTCAATTTTTTTTTTGTTGGATGAGCATTTAGATGGAGTGAACTCTGCTAGAAATGAGAACTGGGCTTACCCCAATTTTTATTTTTCAGTTAAAGAACATGGTGATAAATTTCCGTTCTCTTGTTCGGGCATGAAATTGAAGGGTGAATTATTAGGATGATTTGGTTTTAGTGGCATTGAGGTGCTTAATTCTTCCATAAAGTAGAGAACTTTTACTTCTAACTTCTAAGGAGGGTTTTAGATGCTTAGCTTCGATGTCGGTTATAGGATCCGTTTACAGAAATAGAGGGTAAGTGAGTGTCTGTTCTATTTGTTTTGGATGGCAATTTAGCTTAAGAGACAAACAGTCGGGGGAGGGCAAGATGGTTGCTCCATATATTGACTCCTTTACCTGCATTTATACTGTTGTGCTAACATTTTTTCATTTTCTGTTATGTAGCTGAAGCAGCTTGAGTGTTTTAATCAGTTGTATATATCACCCAGTTTACCCGTTCCTACTGCTGCTCAACAGGGACAAGTTTCACAGCAGGTGAGTGGAAATACTGGGTTGTTCTTAATTTTCTATTTTCTGATTGAAATTTGATGATAGATCTGATTCAATCGGAAGACTAAGCTAAAAGTACAAGTGGCATTTTTTGGTTAATTGGTTGGGGTTTTGGATGGCTCTTCTGGGTTGTTGTTCTGATTGAATTTTGCATCAATTTATCCAACGGATTAGTGAGCTAAAACTACAAGTGGGGTTGTTTTGATTTTTGGGTTGTTTAATTTTCTGTTATTTTATTGAATTGGATTTTATTCAATGGGGTTAGTGAACTAAAAGTGCAATTGGGTTTGTTTTGGTTTTGAAGCTTAGAGTCTTACATATTTGAAAGTTGAATCTAAGCCTTTCAAAACCTTTGTAAACGTGCTGTCAATTGTAAGGTATTCTGTGCAACAGAGCTTGATATCAATTTTGGGGTGAGTCTTGATTGAATGGGATCTCTGTGTGTAATTGTAATGTTGAAGAGAGAGGGAGAGAGAGAGAGATAGTTGGAAAGGAAAGTGAATTATTCCTGCGAGTGTGTGCTTCTTTCCCTAACTTTTTTGTGAAGCCTTTTGAGATTTGTAATTTGAGAGAGAGAGAGATAGAATTAATGGAAATATATATGAATTTATGGGTGATGAAATTTTGGAAGCCCAAATGATTCCAAATTGAAAGTTATGTGTAAATTGATAAGTGTGGGTGTAAATGTTTTTCATTTGCATACTCTTTTTAAGTTGGTGTTTTCAGTTTTTTTTTTCTGTTTTTGGCCAAATAAAAAATTTAGTACTAGAGTGACATAGTTGTATTAATGGAATCCCTAATTCTAATAAATTAGAGATTCTCAACCCTTATATGATTTTGGTTTTCATTTTGTTTGTCGCATTTTGTTGTTCTTGCCTAATTGTTATTTAATTAGTTTTGTTTTTTAACTTTGGATAGGTGCTGTTTCAGATTTTGTGTATCTCATTTTGGAAGTGATTCATAGGTGCTCTGTAAAGGTTAGTCTTATACTCATTTTAAAAAAAAACTGTGTATAGTAGTTAAATATTGTGGCGCTGTGAATGTGTCTTTTGGTTAGCTATAAATCCATACTCTATTTTCATAAGATTTCAACTGAACGTTTAAAATTATGTTGATTTGAACAAGTACAGTAGCAGTCATGTAAGAGTTCAATCATCACCAAAAGTTCGGAATTTCATATTAACCCATTACATCATTTCTATAAAAAAAATATATTCCAATTATGGCATTATCATTGAGCAAAATTAATATGTTGGCAGAAAAACATGACTGGAGGAATCATTCCCAGATCATGAGCATCTGCCGCACAGTTGGTAGTGGGAAATGAAAATTGTACTTTTATTTTGTTGCAGCCATGGCCTCCGAAAGATGATATTCATGTATGAGCAAGAGGGGGTCGAGCTACTGACGAATTATAGTCATAATCTAGCTGAATTTGTAAGAATTGTGATTTAAATTCCAATGCTTTCGAATCGTTATAGTGTTAAGTCATTTCCTTAATTTCAAGTTTATGTTGAAATTGTGTTGATTTTGTGATTTTTGCAATGAAACCGCTTTAGCTGAAAGGGTATTCAAGAGATGGGTTTTTCTCCGTCTTCCTCTAGGGTCATTAAAGGACATTTTTTTTGCAGACCCACTGCAAGTCGAATAGATAGAAGCTACCAACTCATCTCTTGGAAGGTAACTTCTGGAGTTAATTTTTGTGAAATATTTGATCTAGGTAATTTTTTTTGGGTGAAATTAGATAGTTTTTGAAATAATGCAATACAATATGATTAAAGAAAGAAGATTCTTATATGATCCACCTTTGTTCCTTTTTTTTTCTTGGAATATTTTGTTGTTTTCAAATTTCGCTTTGCATCCTGTTTATGTCCATCAGTTGGCACTCCATGGTATAAATTAACTCTAAATCTTTGTTGCCAACTGTTTTCTGTGTTTTTTTAATTACAGAAAATTTGCTGGGTTTAATTGTTTTTAATTTTACGGTTTAATTGTTTTCCCTTATTATGATCGAGTGGTAAATTTATCACGCCGCACCACCAGTAGGTAAGCAATTTATCTTACTCTAGATTTAAAAATAAAAGAAAACAAATCGGTATGTTTATTAAGGGCTTTTTTGGGGCCATTTTTCTGATTTTAGGGGTTTTGAATTTGGTATTCTGGGTTCTGTTTGGATGCTCATAAAGTATGAGAGTAGCATGGATACTGAATTTGGTGTTCTGGGTTTGTTGTGTTTGTTAGTGAAATAAGAGTTTCCATAACTTTTGAGGTGTCAATACTTTTGGTTGCGGAACGTTTAATATTTGAACTATTAGTAATTATTCTTAGGATATAAATTGAATAATGAAAACAAGTAAAATGAAGTGTTTCGAATTTGTATTAGTTAAGGCTTTGAAAATTAGTGTTTGTTTTCCACCATTTCACTTAGAAATCCGCCCTTTTGGATCGTAGAAGTCTCGCATTTTTTGTTTGGTGGAGTATTTTCTTTTCTTTTCTGTTTTTTGTTGTTGTTGATTTTATAAATATGGCGGAGATATATGGAATGAGAGCTTCCGAGTAACGAATCATCACTACCATCTAGACTCTAGAGGTTGGATAAAGCTAAATCAATAACCCAAAGTATAATCAAACAAAGAAACACAGTACAAAACATAAATAGAAAAAACCCATTTGAAATTCAAGTGTCCAGTCCAAATTTCAAAGAGAAAAAAGCTAATAAACAATAGTATCATCTTCAACGGTTTCAAGACCCGCAGCAGAGCGCGGGCATTTTTGCTAGTAGGTACTATAAATACATGCAACTTCGTCTTCAAAACATCAGGTAGAATTAGAAATGGAGTCCAAGTTAGTGCAAGTCATATTTTTCTTCTTGTTTGTCACAGTTTCATCGACTTACACAATTTTCGCATTTGAATGTCGTTTTCGGTTTCTCCGAATGTGTCACACATATTGCATGTGGTGATGACTGGTTGTTGTTTGGATGGGATATTTTGCATGCGTGCGACAACCCTTGTGTGCACCCCTCTGCGTTATGGTCTTGGTAGTTATTATATTTTACTTGGTCATCATGCACTGTTGGTTTATAGTAATGTTCGGGTAATCACTTACCACTCCACTCTCTCTTATTTACCCACCATCACTTCTCTCTTCATTTCTCACTCTCTCTCTCTCTCTCTCTCTCTCTCTCTCTCTCTCGTATTATGTGTATTGTATTTTGTAAGTTGTATATTCATCATAAAGAAAAGTACAAGAGACCTAACCAATATATATGTGTGAAGAGTAGGAACAAGACGTTCTATCCCTCCTTGATTTACACCTAAAACTAACAAACAAAGTAAAAATCAACAAGATACACATCCCTTGAATTAAGGGGAATGACAACAAGAGACTAACTATTGGTGATACCAATGCACAAGATGGCATAAAACAACCACTCTACACGGTACATCAAAACATCACCTTAAGACTAGGTTAACAACTTGTACAGTGGATATACAACCTAACCCTAGTTGACATACTTCTTCCAATACTCTCTCAAGCTGGATCAAAGGGGTTAACTAATCCAAGCTTGAACAAAAAGCACAGAAAAACAGCGAATGTCAATCCTTTTGTGAAAATATCCGCTAGTTGATCATGACTGCATGTGTAGTGAGTATCGATCACCTAGGAATGAACTTGATTTTGAACGCAGTGACAATCAACCTCGATGTGTTTGGTTCGTTCATGGAATACAAGATTCGATGCAAAATAAGTTCACAAACGGTCGATGCCATAGCACGATACTCTGCCTCTGAGCTAGAGCAAGCAACTACACTTTGTTCCTTGCTTTTCCAGTTAACGAAGTTGCCTCCCACAAACGTATAGAAGCCAATGGTAGACTTACGATCGAGAGAATTTCCCGCCCAATAAGCATCAGTATAGCTTGAGATGTGAGTGTGACCATTGTTGCGCATAATAATTCCTCTACCAACGGAACCCTTGAGATAACGAAGCACACAATGAACAATCTTCAAATGATCAATTGTTGGAGAGTGCATAAATTGGTTAACAAAACTTACGGCATATGATATATCATGACGTGTGATAGTCAGATAAATGAGTTTGCCAACCATTATTTGATAGTAGCTTAAATTTGGAATAGGATCACCATGAGTTTTCAGCTTCAAGTTGCTATCCAAGGGTGTGCGAGCAGGCTTGCAATATGTCATATTTGCTTCATGAAAAAGATCAATAACATACTTGCGTTGGTTGAGGAAGAAGCCTTTGTGAGAGTGTGTCATCTTGATTCCTAGAAAGTATTTAAGAGTGCCAAGTTCTTTGATTGAAACTTGTTGTTGAGATACTGTTTAAGAGCATTGATCTCTGACATATTATCGCCTGTCACAATTAGATCGTCAACATAAATTAGCACAATGAGTTTACCCATTGAGCTAGAGCGAACAAATAAGGAAGAATCCGCAGTGCTTCGACAAAAACCAACCATTTCGAGAACATGACTAAGCTTGGCATACCATGCACGTGGGCTTTGCTTGAGACCATAGATGGATTTATAAAATTTGCACGCCATTTCTAGGTTATTTGATTGAGAATGACCTGGGAGAAGCTTCATGTAAACTTCTTCTTCAAGTTCACCATGCATAAAAGCATTTTAACATCCATTTGAAAGAGAGGCCATACATTGTTGATTGCAACTGACAACAACACCCTAACAAATTCATTTTTGCTACGAGAGCAAAAGTCTCCTTGTAATCAACCCTTATAGGTTTGTGTAAATCCTCAAGCAACCAAGCGAGCCTTATGCCTTTCAATCGTGCCATCTAAATGAAACTTAGTCTTGTACACCTAACGGCTCCCCACTGCCTTTTTTTCTTTGGAAGTTTTACTATGGTCCATGTGTGATTTTCATGAAGAGCTTGAAGTCCCTTTGCCATGGCAATTCTCCACTCACTATGAAGATTGGCTTCTTGAAAACTTTGTGATTCGCGAGCTTCATTAATGGCACTTAGGAATGCAGCAAAAGAGAGTGAGACTTTGCTATAATCAATAACATCAGTCAAGGGGTACTTGGCATTGCAGGTCACATAATCATGTAACTTAGATGAAAGTTTCCTCTCACGAGCATGATTGCGACGAACTGGAGGAGATTGAGCTGCAGGCAATTGAATAATATCATGGTTGGAAAGAGCATTGGAAGGTGCAAGTTGAGTCTCTAATGGAGGAGTTTCCTGCTCATGTGGCACCAAGTAACGATGTCACGCCCCGATCCTGACATACATCCAGGATCGACACGTGACATCATCAAATAACCGTATATCTAACATACCCGCCTCCGGGATATGTACCAAGCACATCCCAAGCCTCGAATTGCGTAGTAATTTTTCGTACACTTTATGGCTGCATCTAACTTCCCGTTAGACTGCCTACGTACCCTCAATAGGGATCAAGCCATTCGTAGTTTGTCATTTCACTACACTCGAACATCCATCACATAAATCGCTATGTCTCAACAATATACCACAATGCATACCATGCAATATGTCAAAGAACCAATGACAAAGCACAATATTCTTCTCAAGCCACATTGATCAACTAAAATAATCATAATAATAACATCCATATCCAAAGTCATTCCGCAACCCCGTCAATTAATCAATTCATGAATAAAAAATGCATGATCTTAGCATTTATTTATGTTAATCAATCAATCCGATAACTTATCATTTCACGAATTTAACTAAAGAACTCTATATAATTCCCTACTTGGATTATGAGTAATAAACATGGTAATTCTAATTTACATTCACAACATCTATTCCCATTCAATCGAACCTAGGGTTCTAGACTAACCTTATGGAAATGAGCAAGAGCAAAGATTCCAGACCACTCAACGAAATCTAACAATCTCGGGTTCCGGACCACTCAACGGAACTAAAATACCAAGCTGCTTCTCGTAATCTACCTAGACCTGTCATATGTACAATCATGCCTACATCAAGGAGATGGCACACTGGGCAAATCAGACACTCGAATAAGCTGCAAAGCTCGGGTGAGTGACAATAATACAAGTATGTGATATTCAATTAAAACAGACCGTCGATCACAATCTATGAACATCAAGTATATAATCATGTTTTATGGAATCATAATCAAGTCGTTGAAAACTCAGTAGGAGTCACCCAGACATCCAACAGTTTTTCTAACTTAACCCACAAGACTCTTAAAACCATTGTTCATATGTACATTAAAAACTAGGGCTAGAGGGACGCAGTTCAGCAGAAGCGTACATAAGTAA